GAGACTAATCCATGTGGCAGGGCTTTATGGAAAGGTTTTCAGACAAGGTTAATTAACCCACAGGTCGATTAATATTGTAACAGTGAGGATTGGGAATTGGAACCTCCACATTCCAAGTGTATTTTCAAAACAGTGTGTGTGTGCTAGATTTAAAAGACCTCTGCACCCTGGTCACGCACATCTGTCTGCATGTGTGTGTGTGCATGGGAGGGAAAAGCATGATTTCTTCCCCGCTGCCTCCGTCTTTTTGATTACTGCATTAATAGCTAGCACTAAGACTCCCATTACACTGGAGCTCAAAGTGTGTATCACATGAGTGTGCACGTTTTTGATAGTTTGAACAGGAAGAGTAATGTTTGTGTGCATTTCCCCCTTTCATCTCCCATGTGCTGTCGCATCGCTCTGCCCTCGGTGTAGACACCAGGCCATTTCACAGCCCGCTTCAAAGGGCTCCTGTCTCTTGCAGTCACTGTCTCTAATTCCCAATTTCCCTTTTCGATCTCATAACTTTTGCTGCAAATCTTTTCCTAAATCCTTTAAATCTTTTTCTTGCTCCCTTTCCCTATTTCCTGAGCCTGTTCTTAGTGTTCATGCATATTTTGCATTCATGTGCTTGCGTATTATACCAACTGTAGTACAACTTAAGTATACAGGTTTGTTGACTAGCTGTTTGTAAGATGTTCTATAGCATGTCAAATTTACATTGTGGTGATTAAAATCCCTTCTATCCTGCATTACATAAATATACAGATGTGCTCCAAAGTTTACTTGCACTCATCATGGGTGCAGATTTTCTCTAATCCAACATTATAAACACAGGGTCAAATATATACATGTACATCTCAGCGTTCTTAGTTTTCTTGTGTTGTTTTATTTTGTTAGTTCATTGTTTATTTTATGGTTCCTAGGTTGTTCAGTTTCGTTTATTAGATTCCCCCGTGTGTCTCTGCCCTCTGTGTCTCCCTGTGTGTCTGTGTTTATATTGGGGTGTGAGTTCTTGTGCCGTGTTTCCCTTCGTGTTACGTTTTCCATCCTTCCTCAGCGCGTCATGTCTGTGCTCTCCCTTGTGTTCCCTCGCTCCCTCGTCTGCCTCTCCTCCACTCCCACATCATGATTCCCATTTTATTGCGAAGGTCCCGCGTTTGCATGTTCATTCTGTTCAGTCCAGCTTCCCCTGTCTTATTATGGTTATTCCTGTCAGCTGTGTTCCAGAGAATACACTAACTAAGAATAGCACAATATACTGTATAGAGGCATATATATACATAAAAGTCACTATTAATAAATAGCTGAAATAGAACATGTGCAAGAAGGGTGTAGCTGTAGCAGTAAACAGTGTGTTAAGTGGATGCGTTGTACAGGGAGATGGCCACAGGCAGGAATGATTTCTTGTGTCATTCAGTGGTGCTTTTTGGTCATCTCAGTCTTTCACTGAACGTGCTCCTGTGACTGACCAGCATGTCATGGAGTGGGTGAGAGGTGTTATCCAACATTGTCTTTATCTTGGACAACATCCGCCTCTCCGACACCACCTTGAGGGAGTCCAGCTCCATCCCCACAACATTGCTGGTCTTACGAATCAGTTTATCGAGTCTGTTGGCATCTGCGACCCTCAGCCTGCTCCCCCAGCATGCAACAGCATAGAGGATCGCACTGGCCACCACAGACTCATAGAAAATCCTCAGCATTTTCTGGCAGATGTTGAAGGACCTCAGTCGCCTCAAAAAATAGAGACGACTCTGGCCCTTCCTGTAAAGTGCTGTGGTGTTTTTAGCCCAGTCCAGTTTATTGTCAATGTGTACTCCAAGGTATTTATAGTCCTCCACAATGTCAACACTGACCCCCTGGATTGAAACAGGGGTCAAGTGTTTCCTGGTCTTCCTGAAGTCCACGATCAGTTCCTTGGTCTTTGCCACGTTGAGCTGCAGATGATTCTGCTCACACCACGTGACAAAGGAGTCGACCACAGCCCGGTACTCTGTCTCATCATCCCTGCTGATGCATCCAACCACCGCAGAGTCATCAGAAAACTTCTGAAGATGGCATGTCTCTGTGCAGTGGCTGAAGTCTGTGGTGTAGAGGGTGAAGAGGAAGGGGGAGAGGACAGTCCCCTGTGGTGCCCCTGTGTTGCTGATCACCTTGTCAGACACACACTGTGGGAGACGTACATATTGTGGTCTTCCTGTCAGGTAATCAACAATCCAGGACACCAGAGAAGCATCCACCTGCATCGCTGCTAACTTATCACCCAGGAGGGTCGGCCTGATGGTGTTGAAAGCACTGGAAAAGTCAAAAAACATGACCCTCACAGTGCTTGCCGGCTGGTCCAGATGGGTGTAGACACGATTGAGCAGGTAGATGATGGCGTCCTCTGTTCCGAGACGAGGCTGATAAGCGAACTGAAGGGGATCCAGATGTGGTCTTACTATGGGTCGCAGCTGGTCCAGGATGAGCCTTTCCAGGGTCTTCATGATGTGGGAGGTCAATGCCACGGGCCTGTAATCCTGGGGGCCACTGGGACATGGCGTCTTTGGTATGGAGTCGGTGCAGAAAGTTATGTAGCCTGTGATACACTCAGTAAGCCCATTGATGTCCTTGGCGTGAGGCTCACAGAGTGTTTCCCAGTCGGTCACCTCGAAACAGCCCTGTAGTTCTGCTAAGGCCTCCTCTGACCACCTCCTAATGCTCCTCATGGTCACAGGTTACCTCCTCACAATTGGCACATAGCGGGGGGTGAGGTGAATCAGGTTATGATCTGACCTACCAAGTGGGGGAAGGGAGGAGGAGCTGTATGCATCCTTGACGTTAGCATACAGTAAGTCTAAAGTTTTCTCTCCCCTGGTGGGACAGTCCACATATTGTCTGAATGTTGGTAGTGTATTGTCCAGTGATACATGGTTGAAGTCACCCGAGATCACAATAAAGGCACTCGGGTGCTGAGTCTGTAGCCGAGCTATGGCAGAGTGGATAGTGTCACATGCAGCTGTGGGGTTAGCAGAGGGAGGAACATAAACAGCCACCAAGATGACATGAGAGAATTCCCTGGGTAAACAATACGGCCTGAGTCCAACAGCACACAGTTCAGTGTCAGGGCAACAAATCCTTTCTTTGATTGTTATGTTGGCAGGGTTACACCACCGGTTGTTAACTAAAACAGCAAGCCCACCTCCTTTCCGCTTACCGCTAGCGATGCTCTCCCTGTCCGCCCGAACAGTGTGGAAGCCTTCCACCGAAGCATTCTCGTCGGGAATGTCCTGGTGCATCCATGATTCAGTGAAACACATCAGGCTACACTCTTGGTATTCCCTCTGACTCCGTACCAGTGCTGAGAGCTCGTCGATTTTATTCGATAACGATCACACATTTCCCATTACAATAGACGGCAGACACGGTTTATACCTCTTCTGCGGGTCTGGCCAGTGAGCCGGCCGACATCAGGGCGATCAGCTGGTCTCTGGAGTAAACAGTCCGTGTCGCGGTCCCGTTCCTTGATAAAAGTAATAGTTCCACGGCCACCAGAAGAACAAAAACTCTCTCAATCGACATGATTGAGTGAAAGATAATAAACAGATGAAAATACAAGTCAGAAAATAAAGAATACGTAAGAAAACAGAGCTAAACGAAGAGTAAAAGCAGGAGTAACTGTAACAGGCTGCATGCTGGTTGGCGCATGCGCACTGAATTTAGGTCAGCATCTCCCTGAGTCCTCTGTCGTGTCCTCCCTCATGCTATGTGTTCCCTTGTGTGCCTCTCAGTGGCGTTTAGTTTTTATTTTCCCTGCCTAGTTTAGTTTTGTATCATTTCCTTGAGTCAGCAAATAAAGCTACGTTTTGAGGTTATTCCCGTGTGCTGTGAGTCCTGCATTTTGGGTCCAAACTCCTGCCTGCCATACAGCGATTCATGACAGTACCAGCTGTCAAGCATGGAGGTGGTTGCATCATTAGCTGGGGCTGTTTTGATATCAGTGGCTCCACAAAGAGAATGGAATAATGATGAAATAGGACTACTTCTGCATGCTTTAAGTTTAAATCAACAGCTAGACTAGACTTGGACAGAGCTGAGTGTTCTAGGAAGACAGTGATCCCAAACACACATCTCAACTGGTTTTGGAATGGGTAAAATGGGCTAACCAAAACCTAGTCTCAACCCTATAGGACTAAGCTTTGAAGTTGGGTAAAGTACATGCTAGGAAACTCTATCAATTCTGCCAAGAAGTGTGCTCAAATAGTCAGAATTATGCAACAAGATTATAGATGGCTACCAAATACATTTAACCAAATCAAGTGGGGTGCATGTATATATCTGAAGCAATATGTATACCTTTACACCTGTGTGGATTAGAGAAAATCCTAAATAAATTCAAACTTTGTAACCAATCGTTGTTTTCTAAAGTGCTAAAAGTTATATGCTGTATTTCAAAAAGTCCAAAATTACCATGACATCCATGTCCATGGTGTCTATGTAAACATCTGACCACAGTTGTATATTTATTTCTTTGGTTTGCTAACTCCAATCAGTCTCATCTGTCATTCCTATTTTAACAATATACAAACAAAGCTTCGCTTGCTCCTCTCATTTCTCTCTTCCACGCTATATTTCATCATCTCCTAACTCTATATTTTAGTTGTAACAATACACTCCTCCATTCCTCTCATCTCCTGTCTCTTCGCCTCTTCAGCTTTCCTTCTCTTGCCTCTTTCTTCCCTTGGGGGATCAAACACCTTGCTCTCATAACAAAGGGGTGGTAATCCTCTCTATATATTTTTTTTCTCTTACTTTCCATTTTACACTCTTCTTTTTAAATCCTTCTTCCGAATTGTCTTTTTCCTTCTCTCATGATTCTTCCCCTTTCTACTATCTTCCTCACTTCCCCTTTCCCCGTTTTCGTCCCTGCTGTATGGCACTCTTCACTGAACCTTAAACCTCTTATTTTTCTTGTCTTTTCCCCACATTCCCTTCATTTTAATCTTCTTTTTCTCCCCTTACCCTTTCTCTTCCAGATGAGATTGATATGTTGGAGCGTCTCTGGTTGTCGGGCATCTGCCACAATGATAAGATTGAGGTATGATGTTTTACAACTTTTCTCCATTAACCTGATGAATATATATCCTCTTCAGCTATTTCAAAATGAGCTTCGCGTCAGTCCTCTTCATCAAACACCAAACCAGGGAATCACTGGTGTTTATTTATTTATTGTTGTTTATTTATTCCTCTTGGCAGAAAAGTATGTATGACAAAAATGGCTAAAATCACAGGACTAACTCAATCTCTCATAACTACTAGATGTGACCTCCTAAAAAAGCAGGAACCTTACCTTATTCAAAAATAGTCATTTCAATATAGTCGCCATGCTCTGCTTTCAGTGCTTCTGCAATCTTTAGTTTGCTTCTGTTCTGATTATGTTCACATGCACATAAATGTGCACTGTCAAAATGGCTTCAACTTGAATTTAATTTGGGGAAACAGGACAGGAAAGTGGTTCAGTTAGTGAGCGAACATTGTGTTGATGTGGAAAGAAAAAATGTCTCCACTGCTCCTCTTGGTTTTACAAGGGTTGAGATCATTTATATGGGATTTTTTCCCTAACATGCCCCAAAATGTTCCTATTCTTATCCCAATCAGTGTGTGGTAGTGGGACCACATTATGTTCCCTCAGTTTACCCCTATTTTGTGCCACATGCTGAGCCCGCCTCTAGATATAGCCCATCACTCGTATTTCCTCCAGGTGGTACAGGGTCTGCATGGCTTTCTTTTATGCCTCATAATGAGAAAGCAGAACTCAGTGTGGGAAGTTTGACCCTAAGACATTAAGAATAAAACCATGTTGTGTTTATCTTTTGATGGGCAGATTTGTAGAACTTTTTAGCCCTCAGATGAGATATTGTTGTCACCCTACCGGGCGGACAGCATGGACATTCGGGAATGAGGCAACGGAGGAGTGTCAAATTGATAGGATAGGTGTATCTGCTAAAAAGCTTGAACAAGTTTGAATCACAGTGACCTAAACCCAAAGGTCAGAGGTCAAGTTTTCAAAAAGATCGTATAAATGCAATAACTCAAGAATGCTGCATTTAGGGATTTTCCAATTGATAGCATATAATCTCTAAAAACCTCTGGTGAGTTTGAATCTCAGTGACTTCAACTTCAAGGTCAAGATCAGAGATCGAGGTTTTTTAAAGATTTTGTGAATAACTTGAAAACAAGTTGACGTACTGTAGGATTTTGAAACCAACACTATAGGCGAGTCTACCAGGAGACTGAGCACTGGCTGTTGTCAGTATTTTTGGTTCTTGTTGGTAATAAATACACTTTCCTGTCCTCCCATAACCTTTCCCCTTTCTCTCCTTGTCTGTCAGGTGATGAGCAGTAAACTGGACATTGACAACATGGCGGGGGTCTTTTATATGCTGCTGGTGGCAATGGGCCTCAGCCTCTTGGTGTTTGCCTGGGAGCATCTGGTGTATTGGAAACTACGGCACTGTGTTAAGCGATCGGGCGGGATGGACTTTCTCCTGGCTCTCAGCAGGGTAAGAGGGAAGACTCATTCAACAATAATAGTAATCAAACTGCTATCAGGCACATAAAAACTCTTGGATATTTAAATGTAAAATCATAGAAATTATGTAGAAGTAATAGAACATAGTCGGGATATTTTCTCTAAAGATACTAGTTATTGTGTAATTTCAATGAATACTTATCATTAATTGACAGATGTGTACCTTACATGCCCAATACAGAGCATTAAGTAAAGTTTGATTGATACACTATGCAAAATAACACAGTACTGTGCAGAAGTCTTGAGTCACCCCTTAATGGAAATAAGTGCAGCAATTTATGCAAACATAACTGATAATGTAGTATACAAGTCAAAAACTGTTTTTGTAGCCTAACCACTGAAAATCAGTATTTATGATTACCCTCGTTTTTCAACACAGCCTGAACCCTTAAGCAAGCTTTTTCCCCCTTTCTCTGTTAAGATGACCCCACACTGTTTTAATATTAATTTTGAGGTCTGAGTTCTGGAGAGACCAAACTGTGACCAATGGTGTTCCATTGTGTGCTTTTCTATCCAAGTATGAATCATTGGAAGTGTGTTTGGAATCATTGTCATGCTTTCAAATGAAGCTGTTGTCAATCTGAGAGGTTCCAGATACTGTTGCATGGTGGGTAGATATCTAATGGTACTTTTTTGGATTCACTGACAAGATCCAAAACCACTGACTGAAATGAAGCTCCAAACCATGACAGAGCCAGTCACTGTGTTTTACAGATGCCTGTAGACACTCACTGTTATACATCCTTAGGTCCCGTGTCAGTGTTAGCTGGATTATTTCTTGAGAAAATAACAGATTCAGTTTAGGCCTGTTACGTCTTTTGTCTTCTATTTGTCTAGATCAACAGTCTCAAAGAACATACAGCACATGATACGCCAAGTTTCAGCTGATAGTTCTTTACAAATCAACTTCTTGGTACAATAATACTATTTTATGCTAAACATAACACTGGCTCATGTTTGAATGATGTGCTTTTTTGTTTAAATGGTTTAGTGTTAAGTGAATAAAGCAAAAAAGAAGAAGATAAAACCCTTAATGAGTGAAAAGGCAGCCAATATTGAAAGTCTAGCATACTAAGGGTTGGCTCAAGACTTTCACACAGCAGGATTAAATCTTTCTTCACTCAGGGAACGATTTGCTTGTTGCACTGATAGTTATTCACTGTTGAACTTTTCCTAATTGGTCACTCTCACTCATCTCAAAGTTGAGAATAGTTTTTTAGGACCCGCCCCCCTTTGTGCTGTCAGTAATGTTTTTTCAACTGTAATTACCTGGATTCAGCTTAACTTTTAGGAGACTTTTTAGGAGACTGATGAAAATGTTCCACACTGCAGTGCAGGACGTACCAGAATATATTGTGGTAAACCATGTGTTTTTCATATGCTCAGACTGACTACTTATTTTTGCTTTGGAGTCGATGCCAGATGAAAAGATTTCAGTGAAGGACTTGCTCACTCTTTTGCTACTTTGAAATAATATGCATGAATTTAAAACCAAAGATGCCTAACGATGGTTTGGATAAGTATAGTTTATCCCTGCCAGATGTAAAGAAAATGCTCAAAAGTACCAGTAAGAAGTGAGAAATAAGCACATGAATGTTTTCATTCATTTTGAGCCACAGTGAAGCAGCTGATCTCACTGATTTGTGCACTCTCACATGAGAAGGGAGAACTAAACAGTGCAATTTGTTAAAAATTCACAAAAGTGTGCTCAAGGAGAACTGGTAAATGATTTCTGCAGGCCTTATGTTGTGACAGACTCAAAGGTGAAGACATATTTGCTAATCTACTGTTCTTTTTTTTTTTTTGGCACAAACAACACAATGAATATCCATCAGTGCTTACAGCCTTGAGGTTCACTCAAAAGAGATAGAAGGTTAATAGACTGTTTTCAGACACAATCAAGATGTGGACTGTGCAGAATTGGATACCAATATCAGGACTTTTTTTCTTGCACTCAGCAGGGACAAGAGCAGACAGCCAAAAACGGGAACATCAGCAATCTTTATCCTTGGCATTGTTCCAGGGTTAACCCAAAGGTCCAGGGCAGAGTGATCACTTAGCTGTTGCACGTCTATTTTCTTTTACTGCCAGTACAGTTTTTGCAAGTTCAGCTTGGGGTCATGGAAATACTTTGTGCATATGTTGCAGTGAAAAACAGAAGAAAGAAGAAAGTGATGAGAGAAGAAATGACTAGAAAGATGAGAACTGGGAGTAAACAGGAGGTATCAAAAGGGATGAAAAGGGGATGGATGGTGTAGTGGGAGGGAGGAAGTGAGGAGAAGTGGAAAGGTAAGGGAGGGGAACTTTGAGATAAGAAAAGAGTTGGCTGAGGAGACAGCTGGAGGTTTGGATGGTGGAGGTAGTGGAGCATAACAGGAGTTGGACGGGGATGCCGGAAGGAGGTGGAGGAGGAAAAGAAAACACAGGGACAGATAGGAGGAGGAATGACAGAGGTGAGGTGGAGGGGAGGGTGAGACTGTTGAAGTGTGAAGCAGGCTTCATCGAGCACTGCAGAGATATTTTTATTTGTCAGAAGATGCTGTGATGCCTGATGTGTACCTGTGGCTGTAACTGTAATACCACCATGTTGGAAGGAAAACAAAAGATTGATTTATTAGCTCCTCCTGTGACACAATGCAGCAGAAATGGCTAATTTACACAGATGGGAACACTGGGGTGTTTATTTCTGACATTTGGGATCCATCATACTGTATGAGTAGACTACTCAAGTGCCACTAGAGTCTGAGTCTACTAAGTATTGCTTTTCCACTGTATAGTACGCATTCTTCTACAATAGATTTAGTGACGCAAATGTAGATTTGTAGGTCTGTGATACAACAGAATAGAACTTATTTGGAAAGCGTCATAAAAGGAAGGTCGAGATTTGATCATTGCATTGCACTGATTATGCACACCTGACTTTAAGGAATTTAACCTAAGTAAATTCAATGTTTAGCTTTTTTACGCTTTGATATAGTGAAATGTATCCATGTGGACTGTTTTAGTGATTTGCCTGATTTTGGTGAGATCTGCTGATGCGAGATGTCTCCTTTGTGTTTAGTATAATGGAACTAAAAAGCCCCGGCCTTGTGGTACCAGAAAAAAATAATAATGAAAGGAAAAACTCAGCAGCACTGTTTCTTTCCAGAAGTCATGACTCAGACACAAAAACACCCACAAATCTTCTTGTTGCAGATTTTGTAGGAACTATTTTCTTCTTCGTCTCCATCCACCAGCCAAAGTAAGTGTGCAGATAGCTAGCAGTTGAGCTAAGCTTAAGGGGACCCCAGTAATAAAGGAGTATAATCTGGCAGAAAGAAATACTTTAGATTAAATGTTTTTTTATAAACTAGAGGGAAAAGACTGTTCCTTTAATGTGCACGTACCGCACACACATTAACTGTGGTTAAGTGTACTGCCTGGAGTGATCATTTAGGAGGCATGACACATAATGATCCAACTGCTTACTGAATTCAGCAGATAATTGTCTCACATAGACACAGTCATATATTACATGGAATTTGTACTGGGGATATGGAAGGGTAAAGATGCTTCCGTATCTGTTTTAAGTGATTCCTGACATTTTTATTCTCTCTGTTACTCTGTTAGCTATGTCAGGTAATATGTGTGTACAAGTGCATCTGTTGGTTCTGTGTGTAATGATACAAGAACCAAGTGTGATTTTCTGTATGCACTTATATTTGTTTTTACCATCTTGGTGAAAATCTATTGTGTTCTTTGCAATCTTTGATATCCATGCACGTATTCCCTGTTGGGCTTGCTGTCAGATCTTTTGGAGTGCACGTTAACCTTCCTTCATACATTCAGAACGTTTCAGGATTTTAGAAAACTCTAGTCTCTAGATCTCTAGACCTTAAGAATAAAAATATCACTTAGATGTAGAAGGCCCAGTTAGCTTCTACCTCCTGTGCTATATCCAATGCTTGCTGCAAAGTCTTTGCAGCTGGCCTGCTTTAACCCAGTCAGAGACTCCCAAGTTTCAATTTCACAGTGTACTGCGCCCCATGCTCTGGGGACTGCGATAGCACTTCTGCCACTAGGTTTGCTGATTCATGGGTCCAGAAGGGCCATTATTACAGTCCCTCCATCAGATCTGGGTTCGGGTGAGGAGCGGAGATTCACAGGAAGTTCCACACATTTTATCATTGAGATCTGGCAGATATTGGTAGATCATATAAATCATTCTCACATGTGAGGAATAATGGAGTTGTTTTTTTTTTCCTTTCTTTCTTTGATTTACATAGCTATTTAGTAGTGCTAATGGATTACCATCTGTCTACAGTAAGCTGTAACAACACAAAGGCAGGAGAGAAAGAGCATCCAGACACAGCAGAGATGGAGTTGCTCACCTAAGACAAAGTTAGAATTGATTACTCCTGTTTGGGATTTAGAATTGCAAAAGTTTTAAAATGTTTAAAAATGTTATGATGCGCCAATAATTTACCCATCAGTCTGACTCACCCGTGTCATGTGTTATTCATAAGTTTTGCTGAAAGGTTGCTGAAGAGATGGAAAATACTTGACTGGTGATTTTAAAGTGCTCTCTCCAGTTTGGAGTAGTTCATTAAAACCAAGTAAGAACAATCTTTATTCTTTTTTTTCTGCTCAAATGACAGAAAATAACAACAGCAGTACATTTGAAAGTGAGCCTTTCTGTCCTGATATTTTCTAGCCAGAATGGAAGGTAGTCCAAAATATTTAATATGAGAAAAAAATATCAAGATTTAATTTTATATCCATGTTTAAGTATAAGTATAAGTACAAAAAAAATCTTTCTTTTTTGTTTTCTGGACAGTTTTTTTTACAATAACATGGCAGAAAAATTGAAATCTACACAAAGTTTTAGAAGCAGAATTGTTTTTGTTGCCACTGAAATCTCCTCTAGTTAAGATCAAAGAAAATATTTTAATCTTAATTTGTGCATTGGGAAAATAAGCAGTGTGAACACATGAAGCTTGTGTTTAGTTTCAGTTAAGTAACCAAACTGGCAGCTGGAAAGAAGAGCGGTTCAGTTAAATGAAGCTTCAGTCACCATTTGTTTTATTGCTCAGTGACAAAATAGTTTTTGTTGCTTCTGCTCTCCCCTTTGTTTTGACTCCTCTCCAGAAGCTGGATACTACTTGCACATAGCGCTCTCTTCAATTGATTTTCACAGTGCTTTTGGAGAAAACATAGTCCTGTTCCAACTGAGTGACACTTTGTTTGCTGAAAGCTTTGTTTGGTTTCATAGTGGGAAAATTGACAATCCCAGAAGCCTGGTAAACTCAGTCCAAAGTTGTGTTTGTTTTTTTCCCCAAAACTCATTAATATTTAATGGGCAGTACTCTTTGACTACTCTCTTCAGATGAGATATGACCGCGCAGAAAACAATAGGTAGTTGGAAACCACCTACAGCAAATTCCCACCATTCTGAGAGAAAGGAAAATTAGTTATTTACAGAATAGAATCCATTTGTTTTGAACCTGCTAAGCTACGGAGTCTGTGTTCTCAGTCTGAATAATATTCTGGTAAAAAGTTACAATGCAGGCAATTTTAACTCATGCTCTGTGAGGTATCTGTAGCAGCTGCCTGAAAGAGACTTTCTTTATAACACTATGCAGTATCTCATTAACACTATTATTCTATTTTTATGGTCTGTAACGATACATTTACCATCAACAGAAGTGTGTTTATAAAAATGTGTCTCTCACACTTGTCGAATGTACAAAAACACATTGTTTAGTGTCAGTTGAAAATGGGTTGAAGAATGGATCTTGATTTTTAGAATGCTAGTAAAGGTTGAACTCATGGTCCTGCTGTACTGTATTTCATCCATACACAGTCTTCTGTGGATAGCTTTCACATGGTTTGTAAAGATATCAGATCAAAGCTGCTCTGTGGGTTTCCTTTTCAAAATTGGGGATGTCAGGCTCTCTGTGTCTCTCTGTCTCTGACACATAGACACACAGTTCTTTCTTATCATACTTGACAGCCTGCTGGTCTAATTACAATCTCTCTGTTATCTCTCCACCCAGGGGATGTACAGTTGCTGCCAGTTTGAGGATGAGACAACACCGGGAGGGAGCAAAAGCTCTTTGCCCCAGTACCACACCATGACCAACATGCCTAGTGCACCCCAACAACACCTTGTTACAGCCACAGTAAACAACACAACTGCCATTGCCATGGTGCAGCAGCAACAACCGCAGAAGCACCACCAACAGCAACCAGGGCAGACCTATACCACTATGTTGCCTGGGTCTCCGCCAACTGCTGGACACTCAGCAATGGCTCTTGGTCCCTCAACTAGTCCCTTACTAGAGGGCCCCATGCCTTGCTCCACTTTCTTGCCTCGACATGACCGCAGACTGGCTGTGGTTGATCGCTGGAACAGGCCAAAGCCAGAAAAGGTTGTGAGCACAGGCAGTTCTGGAGGCGTTGGTGTTGGAGGGATAGCTGGTGGGATCACTGAACTACAGGCCCAGCAGCAGTATCAACAAAACCTTGGGCAGCACTGGAGCCTGCAAGGAGGAGTTGCAGGTGGAGCAGTGGGAGTAGGTGACACAGGGCTAGATGAATATAAGCGCTACTATGGTCCTATTGATCCAGAGGGGCTAGGATCTAACTCGGACCAACAGGCAGGGGGCCCCCAGCAGACTCCCAAAGCCAATTCTCGAGGCCCCAAGGCCTCAGGTATGCCAAGGCTACCTCCTAAAGGCTCCCAACAAGGCCCGGGGCACCTAATCTCCAAGCCTCCTCCACCAATCCCATCTTCTCCACGAAGGCCTCCCTTCTGGCGACGAGGCAGCTTAGCTCAGACAAGAAGAAAAGGCTCAGGAGGTCCCCTGTATGAGAACATCCTCCCTCTGGGGAGGCGAGGAGGTGGGCGATATGGAGCAAGTGATGGAGGTGGAAGAAGAGGACGTCGTCCCCCTCCACCTCCACCTCTTCCTGCCCCTCTTTCTTCTCCAACACACACCCCTACCACTCCCTCGTCCCCATGCCATTTCTACTCGTCTTGTTCCAGTGCCTCGTCTTCTTCCTCTTCTTCCACATCATCCTCATCCTCTTCTTCATCCTCAGTGTCACTTTCTCGTTCAAACTCACCTTCTTCTTGCTCAAGTGACAGCTCCTACAACTCCTCGCTTAGTTTTCGGTATCGAGCAGGTGATCGGGATTTTATCGTAGATGATGAATATGACTCAGATCTCCTTACAGAGGAGTCCAGCCTCCTTCTTGGGAGGAAGAAAATTCGATCACGCCGAATGTCATCGCGCTCACTGCCGTGCAGCCCGCCACCTCCACCAGTACCACCACGCAAACCACGGCCCCAAAGAGATTATGGTAGAGAGAGGACTGGCAGCCAACTGGCCCAGTTACAGGAGTGGTGGGCATCATGGGGTGACAGAGACCGAGGGAGAAGTGGAGCAACAAGCCGAGGAGAAGGAGGAGTGGGTAGAGAGGAGAAGAGACACCACAAAGAGAGGGAGCGTGAAAAAAAGAGAAGGAAGAAAGGTCGAAAGAAAAAGAAGAGGGAGGAGAGAGAGAGAGAAAGGGAGCGAAAGCGGCGCAAAGCAAAGAAAAAGAGGAAGAAAGATGATAAGATGAGGAAGAGAGACCGGAAAAGGTCAGAGCAGGAAGGAGGGGATCCTGAAAAAAGAGAGGAACTCAAATCAGGAACACCAGACTTCCCATCTTACCCAGCACTGAGGCGAGAGTCCTTTCGGAAAAAAAGTGAGAGCTCAGTGAGAAGTTACGGATGGAACATCCCAGGTGAAGATGAGCGAAAAGAAAGAGAAGAGAAAACCAGGGATGATGGGGAAGACAGCAGAGGAAAGGAAAGACACCACCGGCGAAGAAACAGCAAGCACTATCACAGCTCGAGCAGCAAGCCTTCTACATCAGTCAAGTTCTGGGGAGGGGGCAACCCATCCTCTGATGCCATTCCATCTGCCTTCCTGCCCTTGTTGCCTGCCTCTTCTAAAAGGAGGAAGAGTAAAAGTTCAGACAGGGATGCTCTAGGAGTAGAAGGAGAGAGGAGGCCATTGTTGGGACGGAATGAAAGAGTGGAGGTGCACTCCAAGGAGGGGCTGTCCTTCCATGAGTGGGAATCTGAAGTGGATGATGAAGAAGAAGATTCGGAGCGTGACAGGAGGAAAACAGAGCATGTGAAGAGGCGTGGAGGAGGAAGGACAATGTCTGATGATGAGCGTGAACGTGATAAGGTAGTCGGGATATATTCTGATGATGACGGTTCTTCAGGGGAGTTTGGGAAATTTGAGAGATACTGGGAAGATCACGAAGGTAGAGCAGTGGGAGGGATTGGAGGGGGAGGTTGGTTTTTCAGTACCTATCCTTCCCGGGAAAAAGCTGGCAGCATCAACAGCAGAGATGACCTGTTCCTGGAGCGAGGAGAGAGGTGGGGAACAGCGGAGAGTGGCTGGGGATCAGGGGGAGGTGGAGGTGGGGGAGGAGAGCGAGGGTGGGGATCAGGTTCGCACTGGCCCCCACCTCCTCTCACGCCACCTCCTCCTCGACGATACTGGTCAGTGGACAAGCTCCACATACAGGATGAGAAGAGGAGTAAGCGCAAATCAAAGGATAAGGGAAGAGGGCACGCTGCTTGTTCCTCCTGTCACTCCCCGAAACACCACCCACACTCCCATTCCTCCAAATGGGCTCGCGTAACTTCACGAAGCCAGGAAGAGCTTTACCACCACTGCCAGAGCTTTAGTGGTCCCATGAAGTCGAAACATGACTCTTCATCTTCGTCCAAACCCGATCGGTCACAGAATCCATCAAAATCTGGCAGCCAGTCAAACCTCAGTATCCAGCAGCGCACACAGAGAACAGACAGGGATCGAGATCGAGGAAGACAGGCTTCCCCTCCTCCAACACTTATCCCTAACATGCCACCTCCGCTCCCTGCCCTTCCAGCTCCACCCTCCTCATCTCTTTCTATACATGTTCCTCCACCTACTCCTTCCTCTTCTGTATCTTCTCCTTCTGTGGTCTCATCAACACCAGGGGCACCCCAAGCCTCGTCCATGGCTTCGGCAAGTGCCAAACTGCAGTACCAGAGATTGCGCTCTGTACCCCAGCCCCAGAGATTTCCTCAGTCCCCTCATTTACCCCTCAAAACCAAGAGCCTTTGCTCCCGAAGGGGCTCTGCCCATTTCTCCAGTGTGGAGAGTGAGGTCTGAAGTTCAACAAGGTATCAAAAGTCATAAGAGAGAGCCCTTCGAGGCTAAAGCAGTTGAACTGGATTTGAATCTGCCCAGCAGCAAACATGCTGCCAAGCCAAGTCAGTACAGCATACGCACTGAGCCCTTTCCTAAAGTTCTGCACAAATAAACAAACCAGAAAGCCAAACAAACCCAATGGGGTAGGTCAAAGGAAAACATGAGCAATCTCTTGTTACTTCCTTTTATTCCTCTCAGTATGTGAAAGACTACAACCACAGTAACAACTTGCATTCTGAAGTAAGTTAACCAAGACACTGAAAGCAAATCAAACATCAAAAGTGGTACAAACGAAGGAGAATCCTTTGCTCTAGAAAGTAAAGGGCTTTGGATGTTGAAGCAGAGCAGTAGTTTGTATTCATAGGATTCTTAATGCTTACTGAGGGCTCAGGAACTTTGTAGTACTGTATACCTGCTGCTCTCAGAAGCCTTTAAAACAGAACACTTTCTTGCTTTTTGTTTTTGTGTTGTTTTTTTTCTTACACAAATCGCTTATCCCTTATTTCCCTATTTTTCGTTGTCCTTAACAAACTGTTTACACCCCCGCAGAACTGTGACGCCCGTTTGAGGCACCTTTGTTGTGTATGATCAATACCTTCTTGCTTAGAAGAAGAGGAGGGTGGTAACCACCTTGTCTTTTCCGGTGTCCGCTGTTTTTCTTTAGTTTACACCACTGCCCCCTTTCCCCAACGTATTCTATCCCCTTTATTTTTATTGTTTTGTTCTATTCTTTCAATGTGTTTTCCAATTCCTTTCCCGCCTTATTCACATGTCTACCTTGTCATCTCTCCTGTCATCTCCTCTCCCGTCCTCCCCTCTTGGCTCGTCTCCTTGATGTGATTATTCTGTGTGTCTGTGCTTTTCTGTGTTTGTATTTTTGACAACAGGGTAAGTCAACTGTGACTGATATTCTACTGGCTTAATGAAAAGCTGAGTGCCAAACTTAAGTAGAGCTCAACATCAATCTGTACAACGTTAGCAGCTGTGTTTCCTTTTATCTTGCGGAGTATTCCATCATCTCCAAAATATGCACACATGCTAACACTCACACACACACACATACACGGACGCACACACACTCACATAAAGCTACATCCAATGACATGTGCAGCCTAAAAAGTCACTTCATCCAATCCTGGTTTTGAGCAATATCTTGTTCACCCTCTGTTCATGTCACAGCTTTATTCTTTAAAAAACCTTTACTTCTGTGTTGTAGTTGTTGTTGTTATTGATGGTGTTCTATATATCAAGACACGTATTAAATCAAATACAATGTAAGCACTGTGCCATACTACTCAAGCTTGGGTGCAAATGAAACATTCTCTCAACTACCTAACTGCGACAATGGAGTGTCTGTTTCCTCCCTGTATTCGACTGAATGTAAAGTCAGCCTCTAAACAAGTGTGCTGCAACAACAATTAAGACACTTTAAGAAGGAAATTGTAGCATCTCTGACAGTTTAGTGACAGAGCTCAGTTCCTGCTGACATGACATAACGCTGTACTAACCTGGTAAGGTAAGCTACTGAAAAAGCGAAGCTGCAATGGGTTATGGGTTAGAAATTACTTGATTTTTGTTTGCTTGTGTTAAACTTAGCAATCCAGGTTTTGCGTGGCATGATGGATCAGTCTAATACTTTACATGGGGCTACACGGATTGTTAGGCAAAGATGCAGGGAAATAAATACTTATAGCCTTATGCTAATTGCTCCTGCCATATGTTTTGTGTAAATTATGAAGTTTTAGTCAACATGTGTGGACAGGACGGTCAGGCAAGGATTCTATTGGAGCAAAATTAGACCTTGTACGAGTGCCGTTTTGATGTCAAAGAGATTATGGCTGTGTTGTTATGATAGCAGGGTTTGAGAAAGTGTTGGGTTTGAGTGTATAGAAGACACAGTAGAACCTCCTGTGATATTGTTTTTTTTTTTGTTTGTTTTTAAGTATTTCTCACCTTGTAAATGTGTAACCAAGAGCTATAGCTTTTTAATCCATTACCGAGCTGACACCAGCAGTTACACTCCGATGTCAAGCACTTAGCAAGAGTAGTCTGTTAGAACCATCAACATTAGAATTCAGCATCAGGACACTGGACATCAGCGGAGTACAATTAAATAGGCAAGACCCGCCGGCACAATGCTGTTTGTGTTTTCATTTGGTCAAGGTGACTGAGCCAGCTTTCCCATTCGTCTGGTCAGCTCATGTCGTTTGCCTCTAACTGCATCTGAGCCATAATTTACTTCAGCTGAAGAAAACAAAAAAAGAACTTGTGTTTTTAACATGAACTTGCTGTGTAGAGTTTGTCTGACTTTCTTTTAACTAAAAATCTAGATATATATATTATATATATATATATATATTTGTGGCGGTGGGTAGCGTTAGATAAAATTGTTGTTTAGCATCTTAATATTTGGGGATATTGTTTCTCATTTCCACTTCATTATAATAAAAAAAAGTATATAATTACTTTGTGTTAATAATCTTCACAGACCACAGGGAAGTTCCTTACACCAGATTATAGATTTCCATTCTTCAAACGTGAGACTGTATTACATCAAGTTATAGAGTTCAGTACTTATTACAATCAGCAGCAACAACATAACTGAAGTGAAAGCTGGAAAAGCATGAAGTGTAATATGTTTCTGTGCATTCACATCGCAAGCAATTCATGTTTGTTGCCAAAAATCACACTCAATACTTTAATCTTGTTTGGCGAGCACGCTTTCACTCCCAGCTCGTTTGATCAGAACTCTTTGAATGCATCATACTTGAATGCCCTGGCTATCCTTTAGCACAGGGGTGTCCAACTCCATTCCTGTCCTGCAGCTTTTAGACGCACCCTTGTTCCGACACACCTGAATCAAATGAAAGGCTTGTTATCAGGCCTTTGCCAAATGTGATGGCTGAAGAGGTAATCCATCCATTTGATTCAGCTGTGTTGGAGCAGGGATGCATCTAAAAGCTGCAGGACAGTAGCTCTCGAAGACTGGAGTTGGACACCCCTGCTTTAGCGTAACTGTTCAGCCTGCAGGGTTAGCTTTGTCATCATGCATGCATATTTTGATCCAAACCATGATCTGTTCCCAAAAGCCAAATGATTTTTGTGCCTAAATGATGAATGACAAACCAAAAACCAGTCAGTTAAAAAATAAAATTAGTTCACAAAACTCTAACACTGTATATGAAGCTCAGACAACTGGTCAAATGTCTGTTGATTGGTATCACCACTACCCTTTCTGCATGTCTTTTTTAGACTCTGTCACTTTTTCGAAAATGTTCGCACTCGGTGTTCAGTTTTGCCAGTGCAGTTGTGTAAATAGCACTGGTATTATTGATGCTAGGAATAAGAACATTAATTTGAGTGCAGAAGCCTTGTTGCTACACTCCTACACTAAAGTACTAGCTCAGTAACACAGCAGCTGCTAGCGGTGTGAATACAAAGCTTGGGTGTTTCATTAGAAAAATGAGCCACCGGCCTTTCCTTCTTTCCCCTTTCCTCTTTGTCCTCATGTCGATCCATTGCATCAGTGCGTGTCTGCCGCTGTAAAGCTGGTCTGTTTTTTAAAAGAAGAAGAGTATCTGTGGATATATTTATTTCATCAAAAAAGCATATCTAAATATATATATGACACTATATTTCAAGATTAAAATCTATGTTATATAAGTTTGTCTACTAAATTTACGGTATTATCTCAATGAGTGTGTCTTTTTTGTCCGTTTGTCCGTCTCTCCTTGTCTTGAAACTCCTGCACCGCTCCTTAGCGCCCAGTGAAAACAGAGACCAGTATGTAACTGTGTTTTTGCTCACTTAAGACCAACCATCCACCTCCATTAGCTATGTACTGTAGCTAACATTTAAGGGTTCATCAAAGTGACAACATGGAGGGGCGCGTGAGTGTCTTACGACCGTGTCACTGTAGCAGTGGTGGCATGTGTTTGATTACCCAGAGGGGCCTTTATTTTTGGTTTGGGCTACAGATTAATGACTAATTAAACCTTTTATGGATACAGCAGCTTTTACCACAACTCTCACTTGTGTAGGCGGGGGTCACATTCTTGACCCTGTTTTGGGTTCTCCAGACCCATGACTTTATACCTTAGTGTAGAGTGAGGTGACCTCTTTAAAAAAAACAATGTAGCGAGCAGCACAGGCTTCTTTTTTTTCTCCTTTGCACTTTTGCATCTCTTAGTAGCTGTATTGCTATACGAACCATGCACAGCTACCCCTGCCAACCAACCTATATGGTAAATACTGTATAAGGACTTTGATATCCATACATAGTGTGTTGTATCTGCCAAGCTGCTGTGCTATAAAACAAAACAAAAAAAAAGGAAAAAAATAGTTACACACAACAAACACAAAGTTTCTTTCTTAATTTTACAAAACTGGGGAAGCTAATACGACACATGTCAGGGGCAGAGCCAAATCTGCTAGTGTGGTTTCCACTAAGGCCAAAAATGGTCGAACCAGGGCTTTACTTTGATCATCATATTTTCAGACAACATAAACGATATCGCCACTTTTTGCCAACAAGAAAGTAAAGGCTCCAAATGTAGAGCATCTTATACTTTTACATGTTTAAGATGCATTCAATGTATAGTATTCCTCTATGGACACTGATATATTCATATTCCAAAGTGTGTTTAAGTGTATTTAAAGCTTCTAACATTTATTGCATTTATTGTTCCTGAGCCCTGGCAAGCCCAGTTTTAGCCTGCAGTGGGAGGATGTCCACAATTTCTGCCTGTATGCCTCTGAACAATGTCTCAAGGCCTTGTAATAATACTGCTGTTTTGAGTGACTGTATGGGTTGATGGCTGGTGGTGCTGCACTTTATTGTCAGCACCTCACACACACGCAAAGACATGTGTACACACACAAACACAGACACACACCACACACACGCACAGATGTGGTTAGATGTTGCCATCCCTCTGCTTCAGCCACATCTACCACCAGTGGGGATAATGACAATACTGTGCTGTACTGCAAGCAGGACAAAAATAAAATGATTTTAATAAAGAACTGAAGCAATGGTCTGATTTTATTTTCAGCTTTATTTTTTCTTGACATTCGAGGATCTTGGCTGATGCTTGCCCCAGAACATGTAAGGGAAAAGACTTGTTCTTAGCCAGGTGAGGAAAGAAACAACACGATTTTTAGTATCATTTAAGTCATTTTAGTAACGAAATGATAAAAGTGGTGGGAAAATATGTTAGTCTACCATGGTGAATTTCTACCCTGACAACATGTTTAAAAAAATCATAAAGGTAGGTTAAATCTGAGGAATGATTTGTTAGATTCAGGTGGATTTTTGTGTGTGCGTGAGTTGTTTGAGATAAACTAGGAAGGCTAACTAGCCTGTCATGTGACATGTGTGTTTGTTTGAATTTTACATGTAAGAGGTCAGCATGGTAGAACTCTGCATAAGAGATACATGATGCTAGTGAAATGCACAGCAGTTTCTTGGTGTATCTTCTGCAGACAGAGTGACTGTAACCCAACACCTTGGTTAATGCTGGACTGAAACTGAATTGTGGGGATAGGTTAATTGGAAAATCTAAATCACCCATAGGTGTGAATGCGGGAGTGAATGAGAGTGCGAATGGTTGTCTGTCTCTGTGTGTTGGCCCTGCGACAGACTGGCGACCTGTCCAGGGTGTAACCCCACCTCTTGCCCTATGACAGCTGGGATAGGCTCCAGCACCCCCCGTGACCCTGAAATGGATAAGCGGAAGCGAATGGATGGATGAAACTGAATTGAAAATTGATCTCTCAGACATAAGTAATGAACAATGTGGTGGCTAGTTTAACACAGTTTAATGCATGTAGAGCTAAGCAAGGAACTGATAATAGGGCAAAAATCCAAGAAGGCCAATGATGTTTCCCTGCTAAATGCAACAGAAATGATGGAAAAGAGGGGGAGAAAAGGCAAAGATAAAGTAAATCAGTTAGAGAACAAGTGACAGAACTAGGCAATGAAGAAAACAAGGGAAGTGCCAGTTGAAGACACCAACGCTGATAGAGATGACTAAAGAGAGATGTAGAAGGAAGCGGAGAAGTGACTCTCTGCAGGACAAGATAGAGGCAGTTGTCATTTCTGCCGACAATAGGCCACCACAGAGCATTGCCTGTTTTAGGAGCACAGCAGATATGGAAAAATCACTCTCTCACACACACTCGCACACATTATTCACCTCAGTCTCTTGCTATCCTTCAAAGAAACATATTGCAGTCATATTATCAGCCACACAAAGCACACACACTTTCTCCCTCTCACTCAGCAGGAATTGCCTTCTAATACTCCTTCTGTTTGACGTTTTGCAGTCCTATACTTAGACAGCAGGTTCAGGAGTTCAAATGTGTTGACTGTAAATGGAAAGCACACACAAAGGCGACGCACTAAATTTCTGCTGTCAAGTGTTTGCGCACTTTGATTAATGCCTCCTCTTAATGTCTCTCGTGGGGTGCCAACCAGCATACATGTGTGTCTACAACCCCCCAACTCAATAACTTCCTCTGTGAAAGGTCGTAAAATGTCACAGTTACAGTTAATCAAGATGGAGCTTTTCCCCCGCAAAGCACTCAGTGTCATATTTATGAGACATCTTGATTTGTTTTCATCGTAAATGGACATTATGAGTTTGCCACTTCAAAATGTAAATATTAAATTGCATTAACACTCATCACCAGATTTCAGCAGTTCAGGAATCTTTTTTTCATCAGTGAAATCAGGTCAAAGGTCAAACATTTCCGATAAAAATACGAATGCAGTTGGACTGATCAAGCCCCGTCAGTTTAGGTCTTTATCAGTTGGACTCATTCACTGCTTCCAGTCTGCATAACATATTCGATTGCACTGTTTATGCAAAAGCTCTATTATTAATTCTTAAGAACGAATCGCTGCCAGTCATAATTTAAGTTCAGTATTTGCAGCCGTTGATTGACACTCACTGATATCCAGTAGCACTACATGTAGTTTGTGCAGTTTTTACCTCAGAAAATAAGGGTTGCAGAAGGTAGCAGGGCTTTATTTGAAACAATGCATCAAAAGCAGCATTACTGGATTTGGTGTACGAATTAAAGCACTCTCTGTATTTGTTTCAATTTAACAGACACCCTTCATTTCTCACCATGGCTTTTATTGAGAAACATTTGCAAGACTATGTTGTGAAAACCCACATAGTGACAATAGACCAAGGCATTTATTATTTGCTGTGTTGTTGATGGGCAGAATTTTCATGCATTAGTTGTTAAAAGGTACTGTTAGCAATTTTGGGGGTTATTTAATAGAAAAAAAGGATACTGGGCTGGTAAATATACGTAGATGAGTGTGTAATTATAATTTCCATCAAACTGTAGCATTTCCATAAAGTTGTAAATAACACATTAAAAATGCATCAGAGTGGGTTTGCCTCACCATATGAATATAGTGGCAGGAAATGACATCTCCCTTCTGAATAATCACATTTAGTAATGTGGCTAGAGATTGGTCAAGTAGGTGAAACACTAACAGAGGTGAAGCCGTAGGTGTTTGCTGTGGAGGGGCATTTAAATTTGTGTGCACCTTCAGACTCAGTTTTACAGCTGGAGATGGAGTCCCCTTCACCAAAGGTATAACAACTTGAAATAGTGAGACAATGCTACTGCCATCCTAATAAAATGTCACCTTTTTCTTCCTCACCTCTAGCCTCATCTCCTGAGCTGATGTCAGGGCTCTAACACACAGAAACATGCAGAAAAACATGCTGGGTTGCCACAGTCATCATCATTTACAGTCTGAATGTAATATTTTTGATGAATATTTTCTGACTAAAAAGCTGCCACATCACCCACCATAGCTAGAATTATGCACTTGAAC